CTCAACCTGTCATCCACGTGGCTGGCCTTGTACGTAAGAGGTTATGAACAGGTGGAGCTTTCCTTACCTCCTTCCCTTTCCCTTTTTTCCTTTTCCTTTTTTCTTTTTCCTTTTTTGCGCTCTGATTCACAATGTGACAATATATATATTATCGATCTTTGTTTGTCTGCTCTCCATCTCTCATCCCTGTGTTTATCCCCTCCCCCTTCACTCCGCCTCTTTCTCACAGCGTACAAGTGGGCTGTAATGGCACACGGGGATGGGGGCAGCTCGCGCTCAACTTCATCAACGTGGCGAGCCTTGTACGTGAGAGGCACGGTGAAAGGGGAGTCAAAGAAGAATGAGTAAAATGAATGGTTTCACTGTGCCTTCATGTTTTTTTTTTTTTTTTTTTGCCGTTTGTTTTGCAAATTGCGCTCTTTTAGTTCATAGTTATGTGATAGTATATATCTATTTAGTTCATAGTTATGTGACAATATATATATAGACAAACAGAGCTGCCCGGTAAAACATAGGCAGAGAGGGAGAAGAGGACAACAAACGAGGGGCTGTGGCAAACTGTTTCGTTGGAAATTCACCGACTCATCAGGAGGCTGAACCCTCAACAGTCTGCAGAATCCCCTAACTGATTACACTGTAAGTGATAATCCACCTTAACCCCGGCTGTGGTTAAGCATCAACGACTGCCCGACAACTGATATATATATGACCTTGGCTGCCCCTTTTCGGTTCGCAGCCTCTTCCTCATCGGTCTTGGTTGCTTCTACGATTGATTCCGCGGGAGCAACTCAACCCGCAGCTGCTGTGTCGCCCTTGGTCTCGGTGTGTTCCTCCATGGAATCCGTGGCCACCGCAGCTGCTGTGTCACCCTTGGTCTTGGTGTGTTCCTCGATGGCATCCGTGGCCACTGCAGCTGCTGTGTCGCCCTTGGTCTCAGTGTGTTCCGCTATGGCATCCGTGGCCATGCCTGCATTACCACCTGCAGAGTCTCCTCTTTTGGTCTCCCCTACGACTGCCCCCCCTGTCTTTGCTTCAGCCAGTTCACCACCCCTGACTTCATCCCCACCGTCTTCACTGCCTTTATTTCCCCTGGTTTTATCTCTGTCTGTTACCCACCTTCCGGTCTACCACCCGACTTCACCACTCCTACCTCCCCTGGTTTTGTCTCCATCCATTACCCCTCTTCCTAATCCACAAACCACTTCCTCCACACAGACTCTGTCATCATGTTCTGCCCCTGCAGAAAACCTACTTCACTGTCCTAGACGCCGTCTTCGGCCTACTTCCCTACCTCAGCTTACTCCCCTTTCCTCCATCTCTGTTCTTGGACGAAGAAGAACCCATTCATTTTCCCCACCACGGCCCTCCCCAACATCTCGTCCCCGTCTTTTGCCGCCCCAAGCATCCTTACCTCGCCTGTGACGCTCTTCGACTGCAGACCTTCTGCAATGCGGAACTTGGCAAGGGGACTGTAGGAGATTCTGTAGAAAATCCGCCTGACCGGCCTCCACCGAATCTGTGTGGCCTCGCCGCTACTAACATCTGCCGACAAGCCTATCGTCGGGAACCATATACTCACTCTGATTTCTTGGCCATTGCTTCCGATCTTGATGCTCAGGAAGGTGAGTTATATGGCGATAACCTGACTCTGCATCCCCCACAAGATAGTAATTACACTCGATATGGGCGATTCAATGTCTTTGTTTTGGAGACCTCTTTGATAAGGCGCCGGCTTGATATGCAGCATGCCCCCTTCGGGTATGGAATGGCGGTGCTATGATGCAAACTATTACTGCCATCTGTGATCTCGTGCGTAATTACTCTAACCTGCAACTGTTCCAGGTCATTGACCCTATGGGCACCTCGTGTACTTTCATGCCCGCCTCTATGCCTATCTTTGTGCCTGCCTCCGTACCCGTTTCTGTGTCTGTCTCCTTCCAGATTACTGACCCTATGGGTACCTCGTGTACTTCTGTCCTCGCCTGTGCACCTGTCTCTGTGCCTGCCTCCGCACCTGTGTCCATGCCTGTTTCTGTCTGTGTCTCTGTGCCTACCTCCATGTCTGTCACCGTGCCTGCTTTAGTCTTCATTCCCCCACATGCTGCACTAACACCTTTGTGAGATCACTGACACAGTTACACTTGGTTTGTGGAAAGCATCGACTTTGTCGACATCACTACAATCGTATAATTTTTCAGGCCCGCTGTCGGCAGGGATGCCACCAGTATTCGGATTGTGAACATCCTCTACATCCAGATGCAGTATGTCCCATCTGTGCTTGCATGTGCTATAGCTAATGTGCACTTAACTGTGATGGTGAACGCCCCACAATCGTCATGGCCTGCAACCGGCATGCCCTCCGTCGTGCATGCTTTAGAGGTGTTGTTAATGCTAGCCGCCCTGGCTCCTGCTGTGACGAAGTGGCTTACCTGAATGGCTTTTGTCCTGTAGATCAGTGGGAGGGCTGCTACCATTGCCCGCATCCTTATGACAGTTGTCCTATCTGTCGTGAGGGTCTTACTTAGACGTACCTTGCACCCTGACAAAAATGTGCAGGTGCGCTTAAAAGAGTGTACAAGAATGTGCAAAGGTGGGAACCCCTTCACTTAAACTGCAAAACAGTGAAGAATGCAGTAAAAGAAGAACATAAGTTTGTGTCATTTTACTTTGTTTGTACCCTGCACCCTAACACCCTCAAAGGAAAAGTCCGAAGGGTGAAAATGAGAATGAAAAATGAAGAAGTGCAGGTGCGCTGAAAATGGTAGACTCTTCACCAAAACTGCAAAACTGTAAAAGAAAGAAGAATGCAGTAAAAGAAAGAAGATATTTGTGTCAACTTTTTTTATTTTTTCTCCCTCTGCCTATCAGTTTTCCTTTTTCTGCTCCTCTCTTCCTTGTGTTTAACACCTCTTCCTTCACTCTGCCTCTTTCCCATAGCGTGCAAGTGGGCTGTTATGGCATACGGGGATGGGGCCAGCTCACGCTCAACTTCGTCAACGTGGTGAGCCTTGTACGTTAGAGGCACAGCGGAGGAGGCGTTAAGATTGAGAAACTGAATGATTTCATCAGTGTTAATTATTTTGGTAAAACACTGAAAGAAATAAGAATACAGTGAAACAACGAATAAGAGGACACTGCTTTGTGTCATTTTGGTTTGTCTGTCTCTTTGCCTGTCTGTCCTTTCATTTTTCTTTTCTTCGCTCATCTTATTTCTTCTTCTACTAAACGTGCTTACGCTCTTAGTCAATAGTTCTGTGCCAATATATAGTCTGCCTATGGTTTTCCGGGCAGCTCTGTTTGACTATTATCTGTTTGACGATATATGTGTCCCATCAACTTCAATGACGTCTATTCTTGTGTACTCCTGCAGGTTGTGGAGGCAAGGCTGCGCCTGATTGAGGCTTTGAAAAATAAGAAAAACAAGCTTGCAGAAGAGCAGAGGGTTTTCGAAGCTAAGCGAAGAGGAGCGGGATTCTCCAGTATGGGTTCGTGCAGGGAAGACAGCAGAACGAAAGAGGTCATGACACCTGATCCGAAAGCGCAGGACGCTGCCGTCTTCGAGAATCTTGAAGGATTGCAAAGAGTTGCGTCTTTGAGTGATCAGCCAAGAATGCAGGAAACCAGTCGACAGCTGCCGGTGGGTTTGGTGGTGAAGGCTGAGTTGGTGAGGGAGGAACCTCCTCCGAAGAAGCAGGATGTGGAAAAGGAAATCAACGAAGAATGTGTCCGAGTTGCTGAAGAAAGGAAAACTGGTGTTTCTGCTACTGTGGGAACGGGAAAAGAAGTGATGGCGAAACAACCAACGTTCTCGCCTGCTGCTCCAAAGAAGAACTCAGCCCTGACTCTGCTTGATGATGCAGAGGTAGATGAGTGGCTGGAAGAGGAGGGGAAGCATATTTCTTCTATTGACGGAGGGACTCCCGCTGCCGAGGATGATGAGGATGTATCCTTCAGTGATCTAGAAGATGAAGAGGAAGATGATCGAGCGCTCGTGCCTCAACCATCGGTGCCTCTGGCACTCGAAGCAGGTGAGAGGGCTGCTCTACCCACGGGGGGATTGAATTTGGGTACAAGACCTGGTGTGGTTGAGCAAGGCTACAGCAAGGGGCAGAAGCCGGGAGACGTGGGTTGGGTTCAATTAAAGGCAGCCTCTGGGAGGGAAGAAAGAGCTGCGAAGGGTGGTGAGGATGCGTCTGTGGCCACGTCGCAGACCGAGGACGATGACTCTCCCAGTTCTCGGCAGCCGTCAGAGTCCAGTGATTGGATGACGGTTGATGTGGATGACGCCCATTCAGGGCCTTGAATGTGTGTTGCTGCTGTTGACAGTCTTTAGGCAAGTAGATAGATGTACCATTCGCTTCGACTGCGCTTTTAACAGTCAATAGGCAGGCATAGGTGCCATTTGCTTCGACAGCGTTGTCTTTTTCTAGTTGCGCACTGCTTATGATCTTTTGTGGATCACATGTATTGCTCTCGCATCACGTATCTGTGATGTCAGAGTTCCTCCTGTTATTGTATTTCGCACAGTTGGTTTGGGGTTCTTTACATCCTCACGGACACTTTACTGCTCCCGGCAGTACATGTCGAAACCACACCTTTCATCTGGATTCGCTCACTGGCCAGGTGCTTGTTTCTTTGGCAAGAAGGGATGAATTGTTCAGGGGGTGGGGCGCTTTCAAGTGCTTTCGAGCGGGCTACTGGCAGGGACTTTGTTTCTGACTCAAAGATGTACCTGGGTTGCAATTGTGACAGGAAAACTCTGATGTGTGATGCCAGGTGGTGGGCTTGCTTGATGGGTTTGTGTGACTGGATCCTTTGCTTAACTGGAAAGAAAACTCTGACAAGAATGCAGAAGCGCAATCTCTTGAGTCGAAGTCTGCTCCTCTGCAGTTGGCAACAGTTGCGCAGTCCTGTGCCAGATAACATTACGTTGACGGCCTTCTTGGGAAGAGGAGGCATTTGTCTGTCCACTTTCGATCGGAACGCTTGCAGGGATTGTCAGAGCGAGAATTGGCCTCACGAGGACCTTTTCTGACTGGCAGTGCTGGAGGCTGATGGAAACGTCCGCTCTTTTGTGGAAAGAGGTGAAGAATAAGCAACACCGGATCGGTTGAGCAGCAGATTGGCAGGTCAGGTAAGCGAAGAATGGTTGGAGACATTGTGTACGCTACAGCGCGACTGGGGCACGTCATGTATGTGAAAATTTCTGCGCGAGGTGAGTCTTGCGATAAAGATTTGAGAGTTTGTATCGACTTCTTTGAAGTTCTTTCAGCTGATTGGAGAGTGGTATATGCTTGTTAGTAATTTCTGCCTTTATAGCGATTTGTTGGGATAAAAAATATCGACGACTTCTCAAGAGGGGGTTGGGAGAGGGAGTTGCATTCCGTGTGCTTGTTATTCAACGTTCGGCGGAAGGACAAAATACGCAGAGCATTCAGGCGAGTGTGCTGGTTAGCATTTCTATTGCTGCACATAGGAGGATGTGTCGAACGCTAGCTGGATGACCTCATGAGGCGGTGTTGCTACTGTTCGGAAAGGAAATAGCTGCTGAATCTTGCCAGTGGCTGTCCTATTGGGGTTGATCAAGGAGCTGGTGTGTAAGCGGTGCACTCTGCTCAACCGGATGAGGCTCTTCGCTTTGCAACTGTCATGTTGCTGAATATGCCAGGTTCGCATACTGGCTATTGTGTTCGGGGGTCTCCCTGAGCAACGCGTAATGAACATTCTCTAGTTCCCTGATGATGCTGTTCCGGGCTCATTGTCAGCTGATGTTTCTTCTCTCCTACTCCTTGATTTAGATGTAGGAGAGGTCGGTGTTGACATCTCGACTGAGGGTTTTACTTGAATTCATTGGAACCCAGGCGACAAGTCCTGATGTTGTATTGTACAGCTTCTTTTGGTTTCGCATCCATGTGGCAAGCATTGACGCAGGAGAGACCAAAAGCCGTTTGTTGAGAGGGCATCATGTCTGCTGTTATGGCCAAAACCAACAGCATAGAGTCACATATGCTTGATGCAGGGCATCTTGTTCCACGTGTAAATAACGAGTCACCAAGTTGTCTCGACCTCCTTTGCAGTGGCAGTGCCGAGCAATCAAGAGCGCGGTACACGAGCGTACGTCCGGCGGTGCAGTGACCGCTCATTCACAGCCAATGTCGCATGCAGCCGGCCTTCACCTTGGGACAGGAGGCTCTGGGCAACTAAGGGACACTGGTACATGAACATCTGCTTAGACTTTCCAGGGGCCCTTTCCCTAGCCAATGCTGTGGGACCATGGGTCCATTGAGGCTTCGACTTGACAAGACCAAGCAACTGTCCTTAGATCCCCGCAGTCCCTGCTGTAGCAGGTGTGGGACACGCTGCCGTTTGCACAACTTCACAAGGACATGTGGTTGTCGTTGTAAATGGCGGGACTTGTGGTGCGGATTGACGGCAAGAAAGAGTGGATAGAAGGACTTCTGTATTGATATAAGTGCGGCTGATGTTCGGGTTTGGAAATGGTGTGCCCCGCTGTCTCTCTATCACTGCGGGCGCAGACGGTGGCTTGGCCTACTTTGACAACAAGCAATCTGCCTTCCTGAAGTGCAGGGCTACGTAGCTAACAGCCTTCACCCAACCTCGGCTGTATATTGCTTCAATCAATTTGCTGCATTCTGGAGCTAATGGTATGGAGTTGCCCATGCCTTTTCGCAATGTGGCTAAAAATAGCCTGATGTAGATATGCCCCCTGCTCTCCAGTTCATCTCGCCGCTGCCCGCTGATTACCCTGCGTGGACCCCATGGGAAGTTGCACACATGTTTTGTGTTGAAGGAGAGAGAGGTTGATTTGTTTTATGGTTGATGGCCCATGGACTGAGAATGGGTGCCTTTGCAAAGTTGGCATACATGTGCTACCGCTGGGACGAGGTGATGCGAAGATGATGGGATGAAGAGGGACGCAATGAACGAACTTGGCATCAAAATTCGCCTCCGAAGTGAGAATGTTTCCAAGGCGTAGAACAACGTTGTTGGAAGCCTTCATTGTCCAACAAAGGAAGTGAGAATGTGCGGAAGCTGTCTACCCGTGCAGTCACAATGGCTCGCTCTGCTTCGTGGGTGATGGCTCAACGGTGATAGACTTATCCTGCAGCGTCCGTTACATGACTCGGGTGTGTAACTGGCTGAACACTGCAGATCTACGGTCAAAGACTCTGCTGTGTCACATTGGATTTCTCTTTGGTCTTTATCCCTTTCTTGGTGCTATTGCTGCTCGCAGAGCGCCAAATTGGGTTTGTTGTTAAACTGTTGCACTTGCCCAGTAACTAACTCAGCTGCTGCTACCAACCAAGGGTAGATGGGAAGCAAGCTGCTGTACATTGGAGGTGCATCATTCTCATCATCGTTTTTGTGTATAGGTACTGTGTGTGGATGTGTGCATGCATGCCTGAGTACCTGCATGTGCATGTGTGTGTGTGTGTGTGTGTGTGTGTGTGTGTGTGTGAGAGAGAGAGAGAGAGAGAGAGAGAGAGAGAGAGAGAGAGAGAGAGAGAGAGAGAGAGAGAGAGAGAGAGAGAGAGAGAGAGAGAGAGTTCCAAATTTGGCTGATTGCCTCTTGCATGGTTAAATTCAAACAGGCAAGCGCTCGTAAGAATGTGGTTGGCCAGAGTGGGTCAAATTGTCAAGAAGGGCATGGATTAGAGAAATTGCGACCCCTTTGTACACGACACGCACGGCACATTCAGTCTGGAGGCCACTACGTCTAAAAGTGCTAGGAACTCCTAGAATGTGGACCTCGTTGCATAATAATGGTTAGCCAGCCAGGCAAATCTATGAGTATCTTTGATTCTGGTCAGCTGAGTGGGGGACTTGTAATTGGGTGGAAATTTATTGTTTGACCACCGTAGGTCAGCTCCGAAACTTTGTGATTTTCAACATCTCTGGTGAGGCAAGGGAGAGGTCTATGAAGTAGAGGTGTGGCCCTTGTTGACCCTGTGTATATGACACATTCAGTCTGGAGGCTGTTATGTGGAAAAAAAAAATGGAGATTGGGCACCTAGCTGCTGCATAGTAGTGCATAATTCTGATAATCCAGGCAGGAAAAGTATGACTTTCTCTGTTTCTGGCCAGCTGACTGGACTTGTGATGGGTGGAGATTTATTGCTCGAGACCATTTGTCACCTGCTAAACTCTTTTTGTGTTTCAACACTTTTGGGCACACAAGGGGCAGTCAGTCTGGATGTCAGAACTTCCTATCTTTTTGCATATCAGTGTCTTGTTTTTTCAAGTGTGCTTTTTCTGTGTCTGTATGTGGCTTATGAACCCTTTTGTGTTGCGTAGGTTGTCCCCTCGTAATGTGAGCAAACATGTATATGGGTCATGGGGGGAGGACTTGTACCTGCTGAACACACACTGGTGCAAGATAGCGTATGACTGTTTTCTTCAGTCAGCCAATTTATTAATGTGTCTGTGTGCTGTGGGCTTTCACTGGTTCCGTCTTCTTTGCTCGTTTGCTGGACCAGAGATCCTGTAGCTTGCTTGGTTGGAGGGATGGCGACCTCGATTGTCCTTCACAATGTGACAAGGCGGGGGCTCTGAATTCTCTGTATTTCTTCTCACTACAGTTTAAGGCTTTAAGCATGTTTTGACGGACTCCGCATGCAGCAAAGTGAAGTCAGCACCTCTTAGTTCAGTAGTCTCAGCATGGATGAGCCAGAAGTCACACAAGTTTGGTGTGGTTCGTTGACCTGGGTGGGTCTGTGGACAAGGTCCTCGCTCTCTGTTCCTGCCCTCCCCTTTCCTCCCCTCCCCTTCCCTTCCCTTCCCTTCCCTTCCCTTCCCTTCCCTTCGTGTTGGTCCTCTACGTATCCATCCTTCCTCTGCTTTCTCTCGTCCCCCTTTGGCTTGCTACCTTCCGTCCCCTTCCCTCCCTCTCCCCTCCCCTCTCCTTCCCCCTGCGCAACTGGGCCCTAGACTGCGAAAAGGACGGTATGAAGATATCTCGTCAGAAGCATTAGGAGGTCTCTCCATCCTACCAGGAATGACCATAGAAAGGGCTGGCGGTTCAGTCACGATGGAGAGGGAGTCACAAGGGATGAGCTCTGGCCAGAGAAACGAATGATGAAAGAATCACTGGAGTGGTCTTTCCAAGCACCCTATCCTTCCCAAAGCGAATTATCCCTGCCGCATCGCTGTTCGACTCCAAGAATGATTCAGGGGCTGGTGGTTGAGTCACGATGACGGATGGAAATGCCAACAGTCAAATTCAGAACAAGCTTTGCATGGACCCCTGTAAAGAGTTCTGATTTCTATGCAGAAGGATAATGCTCTAGAGATGCACAAGCAGTTAGAGAGGATCCCTGGCCCCTTTGTCCTCTCAGTTAAATAAACACAAGAGGTCCCCCCTTGGAAATATTATCCATACGTAGTTCACCACTCCTGTAGTAGTGTGAATAGTCTAAATGCCTCCCGACACCGCTTCTGCACATTCCTCCCTTAACCGATCCCTCCCCCCCC